TGAGCTGATCATTTGAATCAGGTGTGTTGGAAGAAGGGAAACATCTAAAACATGCAGGACTGTGGCCCTCGAGGACCAGGATTCGACACCCCTGATTTAGCATCACCAATTAACCTCATCATGTTTTTGGACCTTGTGGGAGGAAGCTGGAAAACCCGGAGAGAACCCACGCTGCGCGGGGAGAACATGGAGACTCCACGCAGAAAGATCCCGGGTGTCCTAACTGGGACGTGAACCGGGGATCTTCTAGCTGCCAGGCAACAAAAAAAAAATCTGAGGTTTCAGCTGAACTGCAGGCTGTGTTTACACAGAACAGGCAGGTGGCCAGCATACTAAAAATGTAAGTAGTAAAATATCTGTAATGTGTTTGGAGAGTTTACACCTTTTTTTCTTGTATTCAGAAGCACCCACAGGCATTTGGAAAAATGCTGTACATGGTGATTCCAGGTTTTTGCAGTTTTTTAGAATAATCAACATTTTTTTTTGTTTGATCTTTTTGCATTATTTATTTGGCAATATGACTTTGTTATACTACACAGATGACATGTTTTCTATACTTCTAGTCATGGTTTAGTTATTTTCATTGAGCTTCAGGACTTGGTAGCGCAGTGAAAAATGAGCTGCAGTATGTAGAAATCTCACAGAAGCAGGTTCAGAGGGTTAAAATGCTGCAAGTATCACTTTCTTTAGTATGATAATCAGATCTGGGAATCGTCTCTATGTGAACTCATTTTCAGCGCCCGCTTGTCCACATTCAGGGTCACTGGGAGTCCAATCCTCGACATCACAAGGTGGACGGCATCTCTCAAACTAAATGTCTTGGCATTTCATACAAGGAAAGTATCTCCCCTTTGTGGCCAAACACATCTTCCGTCTTCCTCTTTCAAATATACGAGTTCAAGGACACAGCACACAGGACAAACAAGCTTTTGCACGCACACCCACAAGCGAGCACAAACACAATATTTTGCTTTTACCCACACGGTGTCACGCGCTGACGACATTCGCCCGTACACATCAAATGTGAGGGAGTTGTTCTGACAGCAGAGCGCTGTCAGCTACTGCGCTGTGTTTTGTTCTGACAAGCAGGTGGTGTAGCATCCACAGAGCTACCAGCGAACACAACCTGACCCTCAACTCCACGTATCGCCATTTACACGACCAGCACACAATAACATCCAACTGCTGTCTTCAAGCAACTTGGCAATCAGGAAGAACACCAGATCCATTATTCAGTACACAAATGACCCCGTGACCTTTTCTTTATGTGCAATCTAACAGGAATAACTCTTTCATCATCTCTCTGCTTCTTACATTTGATTCATTTTTTAACATTCTCTTGTCTTATTGGTTAACCCCAATCTCCCTCTTTCTCTTTTTGATGGTGCCGAGTGGCAGATTGGGCGCTCAGAGGAACCGCATTCAATAATAAAACAGGCAGAGAGGATGGAGGGATGAGAGAAGAGGGATAAAAATGTATTGTGCCCCTTCTGAGTGTCCCTGAATGATTTATAACACAAACTGACGCTTGCATGAGCCTCTGGGAAAGTTGTGGCTGCACTTCTCCTCCTCCACGCTCGCTCCACCCTGCTTGGCATTTATGACCAACCGAACATGAGAGTATAGAGATGCAGATATATAGAATAAAGAGTGAGGAAAAGAGGTGGAACGGTGTCTTTTATGCAAGAAGGTTTGAAATTTATTTAAGACTGATCTCATAAAACACCAAGCATTTTGATAGTTGCTTGTTTTCCTTCCTCCGGCTGCAATTTGTAGTTCCAAGTTTTAGCTTTAATTACTGGAAATTTCAGTCAATATATAGTAGAAATAATTGTGTGGGAGCATTTTGAACTCCAAGTGCCCAAAGGTTAATGTTTCAGAAGAAAATTGGATGGATGCACATGAAGTCAAACTAAATCATCATATTTAATTCAGCGCTGAGTTTACAAAAAGGCCCAAGGTAATATTTTCTAGTGCTAGTCAGACCATCTAGAATGACAAAACATCTGATAACCTTTTTAAAAAATTATATAGAACAGGGAAAAGCAGCACATCCTCACATCGCTAAGGCATGTTAGAGGAATGGCTCCGTGATCAGTGGTGTGGGATTCGACAGCTTCGACTGCGACGTTAACTCTGAGCGCAACAAAACAACGTCACATAGTCGTGACTGGACGCACCTCAAGTCCTATGAGCACGTAGCAAAAAGAACAATCAAGGTTTGTTATGTTAAGAAAGGAGAAAACTACAAGCCTCACACAGCAGTTTGCTTGTTTTTTAGAGTTGCTCAAAGGTACCTAACCTGGAGAACATACTTTTTCACTATACCTGAAAGAAGTTCTACAGAGGAGGTAGTTGGAGCTGGCGAAAAAGTTTCCCTAAAACAGCCTGCAAGTTCCAGAAGTGGAAAACGGCTTAGCGACACATCATTTATGCACGTATTTAAAAAAAAAAATAATAAAAAGTTTAAGCAAAATGACTTGCAGAAGGAAAATATGCTGTTTCTCTACTGTAACTCTACACTTTGCTTTCCAATAAAGATTTCCAAATACTGTGTCGTGACACATTTGATGCATGTGGGACGAGAGAAGAAAGGCTGCATTCAATGACTAAAGAGATCAGCTGGGGTGTCTGGTGGCCTAGCGGTTACAAGGTATATCATATACTGTAATGTCAAGTGTTACTGAGACAGTGGATTCGGTGTGTGTGTGTATATACTGCATATGAGTTGCTGTGTTGGTGTGTAGGTTACAAAGGTTAGGGGGCCAGCTGAGGCTTGACACGGTGTAATCTGTTGAACACACACAACAGGCGAGAGAGAAAATAGCTGAGAGAGAAGACGTAATAGTGTGTTAAACAATGATGACATGAAAAGAAAGATAAAGAGCGCGTGTCACAGAAAATGAGGGAGTTAAAAACAGCGATAAATGGTTCGACAAATTCCTGATTTTAAGGCCCATAACTGGAAGGTGCGCACCATGTGCTCTACAAACGTCACCATTACTGTAAATGTTGATCTTAGCAGCGCATTTCTGACAAAGTTCGTTGGCGCTTTGGCGAATAATCAAAAATCCTGATACCCACTTCTTGCTGCCCAGTCCTCCTGTTACAAGACCCACACTGTGATATGAATCATAAATCCTGAATCACAAGCCGTCAATTTCCGAGGCACAACTTGGCCACGCAAACTGTACTGCATTTCTGTTCTTGGGCAAAACAATCCATCTGAACAGCTTTCGGAGGGACTGGCCAAACAATTCATCGAGCTGGATGTGATATCGGGTAGAAAACGTGGACTTTGGCCAAGTTCAGGCCTCTTTCAGTTTTTTCTGTGCTTCCAGGGATTCGGGGAATGTTGTCAATCTAACAGGTTGCGGCAGGTATCTGCAATGACATCACTACCTGGATGGAAACCTGGGAAACTCTGTGCCATCAAAATATTGCTAAGCAGTTCTTCGAGAGAAAAATACTCACTGGCCATCAACAGAATGAAGAGTTCAACTGACTCAAATGTGAAGAGCAAATCTGAAATTATGTTCAGGTCACAATACTTTATCTGTCTTTATTACAACTTTGCCTAAATTCAATCAAAGCTACTTAGACTGAAAGTTCGCAGATTTAACTCTCGATGAT